TCATTCCTATTCCCATGATTGGTATATTTTTTGGGATGGGAATGGCAAAACCCATCTCCATGGGATTAGCCATTTCCATAGTAAATGGAAGGTTTTCCCATTCACATGTTTGTAGGAATCAATTTTTCAAAAAATAAAATTAACAAATAATAATAAAAAATAAATATATAATATAAATCATGATTAAAATATATTAAATAAAATTATTTTTAAAAAATTCAAATAAAAAAATTAAAAACTTACTTTTAATTATTTTTTAATTAGATATATTAAATACATATATAAAAATAAAACTAAAAAAAGCATTTATATATAATTTAAAAATATATTATTTTATTTTTATATATTATTAAAAATATATTATTCTTTATATATCAAAAATATATTACTTTTAAAAATATATTATTAAAAATATATTATTGAAGAAGATATTAAAAATATATATTATTAAAAATATATTATTTTAAAAAATAAAATTCAAATAAAAAATTGAAAACTTACTTTTATTTACTGTTTAATTAAAAAGTAAAATAGATATTATTAAAGATATATTACTTTTTATTTTTAAATATTATTAATATTATATTATTTTTATATATTAAATATATATTACTTTTAAGAATATATTATTTTTATATATAATTTAAAAATATATTATTTTATTTTTATATATTATTAAAAACATATTATTTTTATATTATTAAACAATATATTATTCTATTTTTATATATTATTCAAAATATATTATTAAAAATAGTTTATTTTATTTTTATATATTATTAAAAAAGCATTCATAATTTATTAGAAGTATATTATTTTAAAAAAAAAGCTTTTATTCTTTTTTATAATAAAAAATAATAATGTCATTCTATTCCAACCCTATTCATTCTGCATACCAAACGCATCAATGACAAAACATGTTTAATTCCATTCCCATAATCATTCCATTCTACCAAATTTCATTCCATCATACCAATCATTATAGTTTATGGTGAATTAGTAATCCACGAATAAATAATATTAAATAATAATTATAAATGAAAGATGTGGGTAATCAATATTAAATAATAAAAATAAATTAAAAATTTTGGGTTAACATATGATATAATTAATGTAAATCAATATAAAACTACCTTGTATAAAAGAACATACAACATGTATATTTAGGAAGTCATGTATATGTTAGACTTATAAAATATTATAGGGTTAATTGCAGATAAAACTCTAATCTTTTGTTAAATTACAGATAAAACTCCACTTTATAAGTTTGGCGAAAAAAATACTAACCTTTCATAAGTGTTGCAATTGTGTCTCAACCGCCATCCGCCGCCGCCAACCGCCACCCGACGCCGGCCAACTTCGCCGGATGTTGGAAATTTTTACATAATCTTGTAGCTCTCGTCCGTGCCGACAACATATCCGAATTTCACGAAAAAATTCTAACGATAAGGAGATGACCAGAAAAGTCGTCACCGAAAAAAGTCACCGGTTCTCGCGAAGGTGGACGTCACTAGATGCAGCTTTGTGAGAAGAGTTCAACGGTACCTTTGGATTCACGTGACTCAAAGCGAGTTACCGGGAATTTGCGAAAGAGCCGGATAAAATTTGTAGATCTACGAGCTTTGACCGGAAAGTTGGAAGCCTTATCGTCGGAATTTTTTCGTGAAACTCGGATATGTTGTCGGCACGAAGGGGAGCTACAAGATCATGTAAAAATTTTCAACATCCGGCGAAGTTGGCCCGCGGCGGGTGGCGGTTGAGACACAATTGCAACACTTATGAAAGGTTAATATTTTTTTGCCAAACTTATAAAGTGGGGTTTTATCTGTAATTTAACAAATAGTTAAGATTTTATCTACATATTTTAATTTTTAAGCTGCACGTGTTAAATGATGATCCTTGATGACCATTATGCATGATTTACGTTATGATTATATGATATGACGTGTTTGATAAACAGCTAATTTGTACCACACTACTGCAATATGGACGTGAGAGTTATCCTCTTCTCTGTTATATTGTGTTTATTTGGTAAATTTGTTAGCATACTTACATGTTCTTATTACTGGGCAAGTTAATCACACGCCTCAAATTGAAAGAGTAAGAATCACACCATAAAAGGCTCAAAGTCGCGATTCTCACATACGAGTAATCACCTTCTTAATGATTAACCATGACAAATTACAGGCGAAAAGCCTATCAATTATTTATAAAACGACTTCAGATAAGTTCTATTCAAAAGATGTTCTGAACTCAGAGGTCTCCTGTTGATATCAATTTGATCACGATTAATAAAAGCGTGACACGTGTTAAGCAAATGGGGGCCTAAAATACTCAAGAAATAGTCAGGCAAACGACAGGTTTTTCGAGCTGGTCCTCAAACACCGGGATAGAACTTAAAATGACGGACCGACCTGAATGCAGTGAAAGTCGTCTTTGATGGGTGCATTTATTATCGATAAGATAGGCGTCTAGCATAAACGTCAGTCACCATCATTAAAAAGGTTGTTCTTACTACAACATGTTTATTCTTATTGCCTTTTCTTTTCATTTCTTATTTTCTATTGCTTTTTTTTTTTTTTTTTNTTCTTGCCCTTTATTTGATATTATCCCATTTGGTCCTAAAAATTGCTTGTCAATTCTAATCAGATTACTCTGCCAAGGCTTTCTGAGGATGCTGAGATTGTCATATGTGCAAAATAATAATTAATGTTATGTCATTGTGAAGTTTGTGACATCATGGTGGATTTTATTAATGGTCGTGTTTGTGCTTTTTGCGTTTCGAATATGATGCTTTATTTCAAATTTGGTAACGAATAATGTTTTATGTTGCTGTAGATTGTGAATAATGTGATTCATAAGCATACATTTAGGCTATTAAGCACCAATAGTTAAGGTAGTTGATATCACAAGAGAGCAGTCGTGTATCCAAAATATTTAAATTTTTTATATCCAAGCATCCCCTAATATTGGGGGCACTACATACTAAATCATCTAATTAATTTTTTTTAATAGAAGTACAATTGGATACAAAATTTTAAAACACAAAATTCATTGTACTTATCTGATAAATTAAATTCAGTAAAAAAAAAAATTTCTAATCGCCATAAACTATCAAATAAAATAATATAATATTATTATAAATTGGAAAACATTATTCTATNAAAAGGAAAAAAAAAAAAAAAAATAGGATGTAAATTCAGGGAAAAGAAATCCATATACCGAGGGACCCCAATAGACACGAGTGTGTCACAGACTAGAGAAAAAGTTGGACAATGTGTGTAGCTTTCTTTTTCCTAATATTATCTCATGCATAGACTAGAATAAAGTTCCTGTTACAGTCTCAGCTGTTAGAATCATTTCAGACACTACAGAAATATGCACAGTAATTTGCCACTATGGACATATGCACAGTAATTTGCCAGAAAAGTAAACCTACGAGCAAAGTTCTGATCTCAGCAATTAATCCCATTGGCCATTTGAGACACTAAGTACATATGGACAGTAATTTGCCAAAAAAAAGTAAACCTAAGAGCAAAGCTCTGATTTCAGCCATTAACCCCATTGAGCGCGTTGAAGACTTGTGCGACCAGTTGCATGGGTGTGGCCGGCATTCCGTCGAAAATCCGAACTCCCCAATTCTGCAGCTGATAATAGTTGTGATTGATGGCCCTGGTAATTCGATTGGGCCCCGTGACTTGAACAAAAAAAACCGCTGGCTTCGGTGGTATCTCGAATCCAAATTGGTCGAGCCTCGGACCATAAGGCCATGACCGACAAACCTCAGAAGCTATGTCGTCGACAAGTCCAACTGAAATCTGAAAACAACCAAATTGCATGTAGATACAATTTGAGAAACAAGTGTTGGTATTTTGTATAAGATAAACTCAATCAGGTTACTTTACTAATCGTCGACATGAACAACAAATGAGAAATTACTCACCTTTCCACAACCAGCAGATCACACATTCAGTAGATTCACATGACCAAACAGAACAACCCAAAAAATCAAATGTGGATAGATGAAACTAGGGCCAATTACTTAAATCAACTCAAAAGAAAAATCATAGCGAATAGTCCAACTTGAGTACCAAACTAGCCTAAAAGATATCTGCAGCCAAGCAAGTGCTATCTATCACTCCAAGAATGCCATATACATTCAAAAATCAATGAGAAAGCCCCAGTTGTATCCAATTAACACTCACAAAAAGCAGCCAAAAAATGAGAAAAAAAAAAAACAACAACTAACAAACAAATAAAGATACCTTACGTTTCGAGCCGAATGTGTGTGATTGTTGCCAGTTTTTATTTCCACCCGATGAAAATAACACAACTGAGGTACTACTCTTGAAGTATATCAAATGCTGTTTTCCGTACATCTTCAAATTGAAATCACATGCAATATGCTAAATAGAACATTGAGCCTATTGCATGGAGTCATTCAAACAAAAAATAATTCGTATTTCCTTAAGCAGCAGATCACACATTCAGTAGCTGCACATGATCAAACTGAACAACCTCAAAAAATCAAATGTGGATAGATGAAATTAAGACCAAGTACTCAGATCAACACAAAAGAAAAATCATAGCTAATAGTCCAACTTGAGAAATCAAACTAGCCTGAAGAAATCCGAAGCCAAGCAAGTGCTATCCAAACTCCAAGAACGCCGTATACATTCAAAAATCAATGAGAAAGCCCCAGCTGCATCCACTTAAGACTCACAAAAGGCAGCCAAAAAATGAGAAAAAAGTAAAATAAACTAACAAACAAACAAAGATACCTTATGTTTTGATCCGAATGTGTGTGATTGTTACCAATTTTTATCTTCACTCATTCAAAATTACACAACTGAGGTACTGCTCTTGAATATACCAAATCCAGTTTGCCCTACATCTTCAAATCGAGATCATACGGAATATGGTAAATACATCTTATCTTATTGACATAACAATAGTATACCGAATCTTACACCTCATAATTCAGGATATAGGAATCTCAACGTCACTCAAATCACGTATAATCAGCAATTATTGCCGAAATCAATTCATAGGAATTTCAAAATCACAATTAATAACGCATCAGTCAATCACATTTAATCAGCAATTATTACCAAATCAATTCATATCAAATCAGATAGGCATCAGCGATAATTAGAATATAAAAATCTTACAGAAATTGATTAACGAATTGATAAACAGGTACCATGGACATGTGCTTCAGACTCAGAGGAGCTACGACTAGTGCATCGGCCCAGTCCACCAAATGAACAATTTCCAGAGTTTTTTCCTTCCACTCAATCTGATCAGCATCGGCATACACGTACGCGCTCTCTGACAACAATCTTCTGTCGAAAAATTTCAGTGAGTCATCAGTAACGACGACTTGAATCTGTGCATTGAACTGTCTGAAAACTTCGCATATCTGTATAACCCCTTTAGCGGCGGGGGCTCCCGTCACGACCAGTATAATCTTCTTGCCGCTGAAATCGGGAGTAGGAGGTAGGTTTAGATCCAATGGTGAATTTGGCACTTCGTTGACATGCTCTGCAGCAGCCGCCGGCGGCGGAGCGTCGGCTGGAACTCCGTTTTCCATATCATTTGGATTTTCAGGACCAATGAAATGAAAAAAGGCGACGGGATCGTCGAGGACGCCTTCACCGTTTTCCAACGCTTCGCCATTTTCCATTGCGCGATAGTGCGAATTTGAATTTTGGATTGGGGGGGAATTTGAGTGTTCAAGCCGGGAAAAGCTATTACAGAAGGGTTCTAGATCGTCTACAGTTGCCCATTGCGATTCTTATATAAACCAACTGAGCGTCGTGTGTAGATTATTAGTAGTCCTTGATCTAAACGACTACTATTAATATTATG